ATCTCGCCCTGCGATCGGTCTTTGCCTTTAAGAGTCTCTTGACGTTATTGACCAATGATAGTTACATGGTTAATATCATCTGTCTTTTGCCGGACATTCATCCAGACGGCCCTTCTCATCAAGCCACATGTGCTGTACCCCAGTCCAGCTTGACACCTGAACCGCATCTCGCCCGGGCCGGACAGGGCTTTTCAATCGAATTATGGTACGCTAGTTCCTTGCACCTGAAATGTTGTTATCTTTGGCCTGAGTGGTTTATTCTTTCTTGTGATGGCAGAAGCTTACTCACGCCAGGCATAAACCAAACTGAGGGACGTGGAGCTACGAGGTCGAATTTGCCACCAAACCAGCGTCAAGTGATACACTTGGACACATAATATCTCGAGCACCGGACTACGAAGTTCGAAGCATCATAGACTACGAAACCTGCATACGGAAGAGGCTCCCACGGGGCATAAAAGTAAGGGCCCAAAGGACTACTAAGTGATTGATGCAAGCTCTGGCTAGCCAGCTGGCGTGCTTCGCTGCTGCGGTGGCATTACCAGTCTGTTGGGATCCAACTAGTAGATGTCACTTAGCTGGGGTTTTGGAACCAATTCGAACTGCAGACAAGGTGCAGTCTCAATGATGGGCTATAGAATTCAGGTTCGAGGGATGAACCGGCGGACCGGAGATGCCTGGTACGCAGCCAAGCTGCACTCGTGAATGTACGATCTAGGGGTCCCAATACTAACAGGACACGGAATGCAACTCCAGAACGTTTTTGGCAACGTACGGTAAAGCATCAACATGGCTCTGGTTCCTTTCTTTTTCAAAGCAGCCCATGGGGAAGCCTCCCGGTACCCCTGTTCGTTCAGTTGGGTTGTCACGTAAACGGCACGGAGATGAGTCTTTTGAAAGGCCATGTTGTATGCAAGAAACAGTTGGCTAGCTCGCGTGGCACATGAATGGCGTGTCGAATATCTATTCCCCAATGCAACCAGGCCCGGGCCACGAATCACAAGACAGCAGACCCTGGAATCCAAGTCGATGCTTGCACCGGCACCAGGTGGAGTGTTTCTGTGCCGCACAAAACCATCCCATTGAGGCCTGTCTGGGTCTATGTCGAGCGACCTGAGATTTGCTTGAGCTTTCCCGAGAGGCCAGGCAGAGACGCGCGACCGCGCCCGTTCCCATAGTCGAGACTCGAGACCTAGATTCGGTCAAACTGTTTATGACTTTTGGAGAGGGGCCGCCCACTCCAATCATCCAACCCATCTTTACCCGCGTGCCGCCAATTCGTGCCGTCGCCGCCGCACATCCCTGCTCCTGATGCATCCCCGCCTCCCCCAGACGCTTCCTTCACGGGGGTGGGCACGTCCGAATGGGGGTGGACAGACTAGCTCCGGGGTCAGCAGCCGTGCAGATCGGGAGAATTGCAATGTTTCCACCCTATTTGAGGAAAACCCGGGGTCAGGAAGTGAGGAAACACATATAAGTCCTCGACCCTGATCTCCTCGTTCACAGACCGTTTCACTCTTCACCCGCGAGTCGGCCAGGCAACTTCCATACCCTCTCTTATCACTCTCTCTAGGAAACCTTCATCAGTATTCAAGGAAGAATCCATAAAACACCGACACGATGGTGAAGAAGGCCGTCATGTCCCGGCAAGTGGCCGACAACGTTGGCATCGCGCAGGCCGAGGCCCCGCGATTCGAGAAGGTGTACTGGCTGAGAGAGCCCCATCTTCGCAAGCTATACTTCTCGACCATCTTCCTCATGGTCGCTTCAGCCACCACCGGCTACGATGGCATGCTCGTCAACACTTCTCAGCAGATGTCACGATGGAAGGACTACTTTGGCGACGGCGTCTCCGACAACAACAAGCTCGGTATCCTCATCAATATGTTCAATATTGGTTCCATTGTTTCGTACTTCATCACACCATACGTGGCAGACAACTTTGGACGTAAGATTGCCATTGTCAGCGGTTGTTGCTTCATGATCGTCGGCGGTGCCGTCACGGCGTTCTGCAACGGCTGGGGAAGTAAGTCAAACGCTCTTGCCCTTCCTGAGTGGTTGAAGTATGAGACTAACTGTCATTCTAGTGTACATCGGCGGTCGGTTCATTCTGGGTTTCGGCAACTCACTTGCTCAGATGGCGTCCCCCTTGCTGCTGACCGAGATCTGCCACCCTCAACACCGTGGTCCCGTCACTGCTGTAGGTTTTCTCTGCGACCCAACCCCAAACACCATACATGAGCCTTTTGCAAAATTGGAGCAAGATCTGACTTGAGGTAACAGATTTACAACTGTCTTTGGAACCTGGGTGCCCTAATCGTCGCCTCCATCGGCTGGGGAACCTCATATGTGAACAACGACTGGTGCTGGCGATCCATCACCTTCATTCAGATTGTCCCCTCCGTCATCCAGCTCATCGGCATCTGGTGGGTTCCTGAGTCGCCGCGTTACCTCATCAACAAGGACCGCTCCGAGGAAGCTCTCGCCGTCTTGGCCAAGCACCATGCTGGCGGCGACTTGAACAATGCCACCGTTCAATTCGAATTCCGCGAGATGAAGGAAACCATTCTGATGGAGAGAAACGCCGACAAGACGACCAGTTACGTCGACTTCCTCAAGACCAAGGGAAACCGCTGGCGTCTGGCAATTATCATTTCCCTCGGTATCATCTCCCAGTACTCTGGAAACGCCCTCTTCTCCAACTACATGGACGCCATCTACGAGGGTGCCGGCATCACCGAGCAGAACCAGAAGCTCGCCATCTCGACCGGAAAGTCCATTCTCGATCTTTCATGCTCCATCGGTGCCGCCTTGACCGTCGACTATTTTGGACGTCGCCCACTGTTCCTGACTGCCATCAGCGGTATGGTCGCATCATTCGTATGCTGGACCATCACCGGTGCCGTTTTTGAGAACTCCGGCAACACGAACCAGGGCTCTGGTTACGCCCAGCTCGTCTTCATCTGGATCTTTGGTATCTTCTACGACATTGGTTTCTCCGGACTGCTCATTGCCTACGGTCTTGAGGTCTTGCCTTTCCACCTCCGTGCCAAGGGCATGATGATCATGAACATTACCGTCCAGGCCATCCTCGCCATTGGAAAGTACGTTGCATTCATCCCCCATGTGTATTGAATGACCCAGCTAACCACATCATCAGCCAAACCAACAAGGTCGCATGGGACAAGCTCCCCAACCACTGGAACTTTATGTTGTTCTACACCCTCTGGGACTTCTGCGAGCTCGTCTTTGTCTACTTTTTCTACGTCGAGACCAAGGGCCCCACCTTGGAGGAGATTTCCAAGATCTTTGACGGTGACGATGCTGTCGCGCACGTCGACCTCACCCAGGTCGAGAAGGAGATTGATGCCAACATCCACGAGGAGGATATCAATACCCGCGCCGCGCACAGCGAGAAGACGGCTGCCTGAAATGTTCGATCTCTTACGCAGCGACCGACAAGAAACGGAAGAAAATCGAAAAAAAAAACATGCATCCTTTTGTATTGCAGTTCGGATAGTTCTAGCCGGGCTAGGTGGTGGACATAATACGGGTTCAGCATCGGCTGGGCTCAGGAATTTGGGGTTGTTCATGATACCAGAGGCATCGCGACACAAGACACGCTCATGTCCTGCTATGGATGGAAGGTGGCTGGTGGCTTGCCGAGTGGTGCCTTGTCAATTACTCTCGTTAGTTACAAGTAGGCTATATACGACCCGTAGTGCACTCCCCCGTGGAGTCTCTGCGGTAATCTGAAGCCATCAGCAACTGTAATTTCCTCTCTTTCCGCGGCAGATTGCCAACGCCTGGAAAAAGCCAATTCCCCCTCAAGCTTTTGCTACGGTCTTGGCCGGGTCCTCCTCCGTTCCTCGGGAGACTAAACCCTATATTCCCCCCCGGGGATTTCCTAATGGAGGTTGAGAAAGCGCTAGTGCCGGCATCCACATATCCACATAGCACGAGGTCTCTGGATACGAGAGGGGAATTGGTGGGAATTTCTTTGGGAGAGAAAAAGCAGGGGGTTGTTCTTTGTCCTGCAGGCGTCGTTTACTTGGCGTTGGAGGTAGACAGGTATGCAAAGACGGAGGGAGACCTCAGGAGTGGGAATGAGGGGGTGGGGAGAGAGGACGGCCCGTGGAACCGGTAGGATTCGGCCCCCTCGTATGCGGGGGAGGAGCAGACGGCATGGGATGCTTAGGCGGGTTTGAAAATATGGCTTTTGGGGGTCTGATTTTCGTTTGCTTCCTTTTGTCCCTCTTGGGTTGAGATTGTGGTGTGTGTAGTGGAGATGCAGCCTAGGGAGCGGTGAATGAATCCATGCATTGAATTGTCTTTGTCAAAGGCTTGAGAACATCATGAGGTTCTCGTCTCTGGCCTTTCTCAGCCGGAATCGCTGGATAAATGTAAGAGAATTTAGTCTACCCGTGTCGCTTGAACATGGAGGAACTCAAGTGTCGGCTGCCTCAGGAAATCTGATAAGCGGGTGTGATGGTCTGACATGCTTCGGAGACTGGGATGAGAGGCGTTGGTAAGGGGCGCCGGAGGAGGGGTTCCTTATTCCATTGTCTGTGGTGTTTTTTGCTTATTCCTCTTGTCCTTGGTTCGCTTGACTGGCAGCCTGCACCTGTGCCCAGCATTCGTGTAACCTCTGGCAACGATACGATTGTCAGGGGCGTGACTTACCTCTTGTATGCCATTATGCCGTACGATGGCTACGGACCTTTTGCTTCGGTTGTTTTTACAATGTTTGTGACGATATTATCCTTGAACCGCAGGCCGATGGCGCGTGGCGTACCGAAGAAAAGACGATGGTAATATTGAACTGCATTATTGGCACTGAAATGACGAGTGATAATAATGCTCTATGAACCGCTAAAGCACAGAATTCCAGTAATATCCCCTGGTACAATAACATCTACAACGTGCTAGTCATGCCTTTCTAATAGGTAAAGTAGGTAATGATACATTGGAAACAGAGCAGCTGTTCACGGATGATGCCTTCAAACCCCTAGCTCACCGCCAACAACCTCGAGAGCCTCCACGCAGAGCTTCAACACCGCCTCGTCTCCAGAAGAGCCCGCTACCTGCACAGCGCTGACGAGGAGGGGATACAGCCGCAGCAGATGCTTCCTTCCCTCACTATCGACGTTGGGCGTGCTGGGGATGGCATCCGACTCGGACGTCAAATCGACCAGCTGCCGGAGCACGCGCAGCAGCTCCTTTCGCTGCGAAAGCGGCTGCGGCATGCGGCCTCGCAGGGGCTGGTCGGCAATGTACGCCCGAACGGTCAGCGCTGCGCGGAGGATGAGAAAGGGCGCGACGGTACGCGCGATGCGGATGTGCAGGGCCTGCGGCGCCTCCGAGAGGTGCGAGGTCGCGGAGCGCGGAGGGGGGAACGCGGGTGTTGGCGGTTGCACGACAATACGCAGGCTCTCAACGTCGTATGTTGATACAAGAGAGAAGAGCTCGTCGACGCAAACGTAGGCCATACGGTCGCGGCGGGTCGGGAGCGGGTCCACGGTGCGACCGGTGCGTTTTTTGTAGAGTGCTGTGAGGCCGTTGGCGCCGTCGCTGCTGGAGCCGAAGAGGAGGGAGGACTCGGTCGGCGAGGGGTCGTGGATGATAGAGGTCCGGAAGAGGCTTTCGGCGTAGGCTTTGCGTGTCTTGTCTGGAATCGCCTCGGCTCCTAGGGATGGGATGATGAGTTCGCGAAGTTTGTGGAATGATGCAATGTCAAAGGATTCGTCGTCCGAGAGGTCTGCTGATGAGGGCGCAGCGTTGGTGTCTGCGCTTACAATACCGTCGGCGATTCCGATAATCATCTGCCACATGTCCTGGAGTGTCGAGCGGGGGATTTCGAGGGCGCGGAGCTGAGGCAGTGTGGCTTCCAAGATGGCGAGAATCGAGTTGGTCGCGAGACGCCATGGCTGGGCTGACTTGGTGACAATGGGGAAGCCATATTTGAGGACAACGGGCTTGGAGAGGGCCGAGAGGGCCGAGGAGAAAGCCTCGCTAGCGTAAATATCTACGTCGGATGCGTTGCGAAGGATAAGAGTTTGCAGGATGGACATGCTAGCTTTCGACATAGCTACATATGTTCTCCGCTGCGTTGCGCTCTGCGCCTTGAGGGCTTCGTCGCTGAAGGCTAGGCGGACGAACTCCGCCACCTGGGAGATCATGGCTGAGGGCACGCCAGCGAGGTCTGTTCGCACCATCTTGATGGCTTCCATGACTTGATTCTGCAGCGGCGTGACATACTCAATGTCGTTCACGTAGGCTCCGACTGTGGCTTGTTGCAGGGCTTCGCGGAAGAGGGTCAACATTTGGCGGACACGATCAACTGTAAGGTCTTGCTGGACGAGTTGATACACATCGTGGAAAGCCGCAACGTAGGCAATCAAGCAATTTTGGTTGTCTGCCTTCTTGCCGTCCTCTTCGTCTAGAGAGACGGGCGTACCCCGAGACCACAGCTCCCATGCCGCGTTGACAGTGTTTGTGTCAAAAATGGGTCTGCCGGGATCGTAGTCGAGCTTGATGACCTTGCCGAGTGCTTTGTACGTGGCCGTGTTGATTGTGAGCACCTTAAAATCGAGTAGAGTAGCAAAGTGACCAAGAAGCTCTTGCCACAGGGCATTAAATGAGGAATGCGTGGATAGTGTCTCCATGTAGGTCGTAAGGAGCTCGGAAATACCGGTCAAGACAACGGATGCTGTCTCGTGCCACTCTTTGCGGTCTTGCAGGGTGGTACTGTTGGTTGCGGCGGCCTTGAGTTCTTCCTCTATCGATGAAAGAAGCTTGAAAACCACAGACTTGACGCAGGTGGACCATGCCTCTGGGCTCAACTTATCGCCATACGCGTCAAAGATTCTCAACAAGGTCTGAATCGCGCTATTGCGTAGCTCAAGTCGTTCATCGGCTGTCACGGTCGTGAGTCTTAAAAGCAACAGCATCCAAAGAGCGGCGTCTGAGGCGATGTGTTCCGAATTTGCAGCCAAGGCTGCCAGATCAGATATACTTGAGCCCTGCATCAGGTCGGCCGTGACAGGAAGGGTCTCAGTCTTGCCGGAAAGGAAATCTGACAGGACCCAGAAAAACGTGACAGTCTACAAAATGTTAGCTTGGTCCAAAGGGCTTGACGCTTTGCAACGTACCGTTAACGCAATATTGAGGTCATCATCTTGTGAGCAAAATTTGTAAAGGGTATCGACAAGGATGAGAAAGCAGGAATTCGGCAAAGACGCTAGGAAGTCGGAGCAGATGAGTTGAAGAGAATTGAAAGAAGACCGGACAAGCTTCGCTGATCTGGTCATGAGAACGTTCGTCTGGGAGCCCCGACGTTCTCCAAGGGCGAACTTTTTGTTGATGAATATGGAGCCGATAATCTCAAAAGCAATCTCCCATCCGCTAACAAGTGTCTCGCCACAGTTTTCAAGCAGGTTCTTCAGTCCTTCTAGGATAACCTTGTGGATTTCGACGTCGGTGCTATGACTGGCGACGGTGACCTCCCTATCTTCTTGCTGCAGAGGCAAGAGTGCATCGCGGAGAGCCTCGAGGAGAAGCAATTGAACTTGACCGCATTGCTCACGCTCCATTGTGGCCGCAATGTTGGCTGCATCAAGAGCCAGTCTGACGAGAATTTCTGCCGCTCGCAGCCTTACGGAAGCGTTCATTGAAGACGCATTGATGATATGGATCAATTCAGAAGTCAGAGGGGTCCATCCCGATATGTCTGGAGAGTAAGATAGCAAGCGATCGATATTGATTGTAGCAATATCACCCAGCTTGGCCAGAGCAAAGTGGTCTTCTTGATTCGGTCCCGCGGCAGCTGCTGTAGAGACACTGAGAACACGACGGTGTTGGCCAGCTTGCGACGGCTTCATGCCTCCTGATGTGGGCGACTTTGGTTGCGCTGCAGTCTCTGTCTTCGCCTTATCATCTTTTGCTCTTTCCAAGAGATCGCATACCGCCTCAACGACTTGTGCAAAGGCATCATTGGGAAAGTCAATAGTGCTTTCGATCAGACGAGATGCTGCCGTCTCAACAGCGCGGACTTCACTGCTAAAGTTGGAGAGTAGTGCATTTGCCTCGCCCTCTGCATGCTGGTCTGTTCCCTTCGTTGCGAGTGGCGTTCGGCCAGGAGTCTTACTCGTGGAGAACAGTACGAAATCGGCCTGCTGCAAGGTTTCCAGGATGATACGCCATGAAGAACCAAGAGTCGGACCAAGAGCAATGCCAAGGTTAAGGAGCGCTCGCAGACATAGTAGATTACGAGTGTTGAGCGTCATCTGGCTTCCCTCAAGACCTTGCTGTCGACCTCTGTCAGCGACGGGCGAGGCTTGGGTGACAAGACTATCGACACTTAGTAGTCCTCGTGCGTTGCTCAGAATGCTGTTGGGCGCTTCTGTGGTCGGTGTGGGTGTTGTTGGTCGAGCTGGCCCAGCATTCAGGCATGCCGTGAACACATTCGGTGGCACTGCCGCCTTGCCCAGCGTCGTCAAGAATGCGTCTCTTGGGGTAGACAGCTGAAGCAAGCCGGCGACATGCGCAAACTTTTGGAATGCCCTCACCAGACTGTGGTAGTATTCAGAGTCCATAGCAGCATAGAGGAACGTAGAACAGGTAGCAAGAATGGCAGGCCAGCATTCCTCAATGATGGCGGCGCAAATTTTGACTTCTTTGTGCATGGGATGATCCTCCAAAGCAAGAGGGTTGAGCGGGACGGGGTTCTTCTTGAATGATGCTGCTCGTTCCAACGCAGCTCGTGATCCGTCTGTATCATCTTGTGCAGGTGCCGGTGAGTCACGTCCAACTTCCTGCTTCCCGCTCTTCTTGCGATTGCGGTTATCCCCCGGGACGGTGAGGGGAAGGATAAACTTGGCAAGGCCTTCAGAGAGCGATCCTATGCAAGACAAAGTCAAGCTGTAGATGTAAGAATCCGGAACAGATGGTGCCTCGGTCTTGTCGAGCTGGTCGATGCAAGGGACCCGGACGCTACTCCACTGCGTGCTAATGCCCACATTGGATCCGTCTGCGCTGACGGAGCCGCTGATGATACCCGTGACGCCGCTGGCCTCGAGCATGGCTTGATCGGTTGATGATGCGATGCTAGCATAAGGGTTCATAACCGGGATTGTTGATTGGTGTCCAAGACCAATAACAGACGGTTTCTCGGTGCTAAGCCGCACAAAGGTGGCGGTCAAGTGTTTGAGGACATCCTTCTCGCCTTCTTTGGCATCGTAGTTGACGAAGATCCGTCTGATCAAGGCGTGCTCTGAGAAGATACCTCGGAACACTTCTAAACACAGTGCTCTCTTCCATGTCGCCGTGTCCTGGTCCAGTAGATGCGTCAGGATATCAAGTGCATCTCCGCTTTCGGTTGGGAGAATGTTGATATGGCGTCGTAGGAGGGTGTACAGAATCCGAACCAGCCTGACGGACGTAGCAAAGTTTGGCTTTCCTTTCAGCGCGCTAGTGATGAATGGCATGACCCGAATCTGTAGGATGTGTGCTTGTTCTTTGTGGGTAGAAAAGACGGCGGCGTGGTTGGTAAGAACCGACTCTATCAGTTCCAGTCCGAATGTTTGTGGCAGACCGGAGAATCTCAGGTACTCGGGGCGCTGGTTTTCCGTCATGAGGCATAAGTCGTTGAATATCTAAGCAGATGTAAGTGACGGAACTTAGAAGTAGGCAGACGCGGCTTACCCTGTACGCATCCAGCGCCGCAGCGCGCAGCTCAACTGTGCCCTCACCGGACGGCGCCTCGCCAGCGGGAGGGCCACTGGAAGCCGTTTCTATGCACGGTCAGCAGATATACTTGGTGGCAGAAAGACCCAAGACTGACTGTCTTCGGCAACGACCTTGTCAAACACAGACACGACGAGCTGTTGTAAGGTTGCCGCAGAGGTGTTGTTGACGATAGCATTTTTGCTGGACTGCAGTATGAAGCAGATGTTCAAAGCGGTGATGAGAAGGTCGCCTTTGAGATCAGTGGCATAATTTTGCAATAATGACGGCAAAGCCTGGAGGATTTTGAGTTGAACGTCGAGACCAGCCGAGGTTGCCTCTCTCAGAGCTTCGAGGACCTGGTTCAACTTCCCCCTGGGAAGAGCACGGGCGACGATGAGCCTCTGGAGGCATACAATGGCGATTCCAGTAAACTTTGCATTCTTGGTGCCACATGCGATGATGAAGGGATTCACAAAGTTGGGTCTCTGGGCAAGCTCTGTATCGAGAGGTCAGTCATGGATCCATAGCTAGGAGGGGATCGACAGGGGGGGATACACACCGTTGGCAGCTTGAGCTTCATTAGCTCCTCTAAGCGCTTTGAGTTCCTCGAGAGACTTTTCAGCAGCCTTATCCATACATGATTAGCATTGAGTCTTAGTTATTCGGAGAATCAAGCGCACACCTGTCGGAGGTCATTGTGTTTCCGTTTGCTCTCTTGGATGAGGTTGGTTAGCTCCGTGGCCAGGAGCTGGGTCGTCATTCTGTCACAGGTGGCCTCTCGGGCAGTCCATCATCGATCTTGGGACGGGACTCAGTGAACTGAAGAAACACACGCAACTAAAACAGACTGTGAAGTGTTACAAGACCGTGTCCTGTCGAAGATTGTCGAGTTGATTTCGAGTTGATGGGGATGCACAGGGCAAGTTAAGGTAGGGAGCTCCCGTTTGGACAGCTGCAACTGCTCTCTGCGCCTGGCAGCTCATCCACAGCTCCCGATTGAGGTGAGCTGTCCACCTTGAATGATGACTAAGGCATCTCGCATAAAGGTATCCACACCGCTTGATCGGCAGAAATGCCCAAAGTGGTTCACCGCCTTTACTGCCCCGCGCTGCCTTTGGGCTCGGCTAGCATAGCTTCTGGCTAAGACAGTGACACTTGCGCCGTCTCTCCAGCGCCTTCAGGCACAAGCCCACTTGATTACACTGGTGGTCCCTTCTGTGAGGTTCCCACTGCGACCCGCCACTGGGTCCATCAGGTAACCCAGGTGCCTACCTCACGTTTAGGTAAGGAACTAAGATCCGGGCCGCATTGCAGTCCCCCGTCGGCCTTCCTCCCACTTCGTAACCCCTCCAACTTTGAACATCTACATTGCGGTATCTACCAGTCGCCCTTTCACAACCACACCGAACCCAAGCCTCGCGATACCCACACACGACTCAACATGGGCGCAAAGGTTCCACGCAACTTCCGCCTCCTTGAGGAGCTTGAGAAGGGCGAGAAGGGTCTCGGAGCAGGTACTAGAGCCCCTCCCCTCTGATGCAACACCAAGCAATCTGCCCCGCGCATCTCGCAGTCCTGACTGACTCTTTTCATTGTAGAGGCCTGCTCCTACGGTCTGAACGATGCCGAGGACCTCTTGATGTCCGACTGGAACGGAACCATTCTCGGACCCCCTCACGTTAGTACCTCCTTTGTGCTCACCAACCCCCATCGAGGTGTTGCGCTTCACTGACCGGTCCTTTGTCTTTGTAGAGCGTCCACGAGAACAGAATCTACTCCCTCAAGATGCACTGTGGTCCCAACTACCCTGACGAGCCTCCCACGATACAATTTGTGAGCCAGGTCAACCTGCCCTGCGTCAACTCCCGCAATGGCGTCGTCGATCCCAGACAGCTTCCTTGCCTGGCCAACTGGAAGAGAGACAACACCATGGAGACCATTCTCATTGAGCTTAGAAGGTACGTTGGGGAGGTAGATCTGGGTGCACGCTGAAGTGCTGCTATTCAGGCAAGGCTAACGTTCATTTTCCCAGGTACATGGCGGCTCCTGCGAACAAGAAGATCCCCCAGCCTCCCGAAGGTTCTACATACTAGTAGTGGCCTATGTGCATGATTCTCCACGATTTGCGAAAGAGGGTTTGGCTGGGTAGGTCGGGCTGATTATCGGTACACATGGCATGGGTAGTATGGCTCAATGATTATGACTTTCTTCACACCCAAAGTCCTCTCTGCTCATTATGCTGTGCTGTGAAGGAAGGCAATGTGTCTTTGTGCTTTGAGGCTCTGGATAGAGTGAGACGGAAGAGGATACCATCAACAGCATGCACCTCTGCGGGTACGAGACTCAGATCTGTACTGGGCGCCACTCTCCAGGCTCCCTCTGCTGATTCTATACTGGCTTGTTATCCTCTGAGACCAATCGCAGTCTTCCAGATGAGGACTCAGACTGGGTGTCGTATCATGTTTTGATCCGGTAAGGTGGTAATGGATGCAATGACTGATCATCTTAGGGACTGCCATGATGCTGAATGTTTTGAGATCCAAGTTTCATGACTAGCCAACATCAATAGGGTTGTGATCCAATGCAAAAAATCAGAGTATGCGGGCTTCATATTCGTTGCGAACAGATGTGCCGTCTGGTCTCCAAGCTGACAATGCAAGACCTCGTCCATGTCTAGGATGTCCTGTCCTGGATCCTGGATGCCCATGGCATAGCACCACGGAATGGGAGCATCAGAGCCCGGTGGGCCTCGGCCGATGCCGTCGGCTAATTATCGGTAGGCAAAGGCAGCTGCAACTTCCGTCATCCATGGACTTTTTTTGCCCCGGTCAAACGACGGAGACCCACAGATCCTCTTTGGCCTTAGTTGATGATGACCCGCGAGAGAGCTGTTCTGGAGCTCGCAACCTCGATTTGATCCACGCATCTTCTCGATCTACGTCAATGCCGCAGCAGCAACAGACATGGCTTCGGCGGTAACAAAAGCCGCACTCTCCGCGCCGCTGAGACGGGCTCTCGTCCAGTCCCAGTCGCGCGGCTTCCAGACCACCACAAAGAGCCTGCTTCCATCAGCATTCGGCTCCAGCTCCAGTATCCCGCCCTCCTACTTCCAGAGGTCGTCCCTCCCCGCCAACACCGTCATCCGCTTCGTTCCGCAACAGACGGCATGGATCGTTGAGCGCATGGGAAAGTTCAACCGCATCCTCGAACCCGGTCTGGCCATTCTCGTCCCCTTTATCGACCGCATCTCCTACGTCAAGTCACTCAAGGAAAATGCACTCGAGATCCCCAGTCAAAGCGCCATTACCGCCGACAACGTCACCCTCGAACTCGATGGCGTCCTCTACACCCGCGTCTTTGACGCCTACAAGGCCAGGTTTGTCAACACACCCCTCGACGGTATCGTAGTAGAATTCTAACAGTATACCCCAAGCTACGGAGTCGAAGATGCCGAATACGCCATCTCCCAGCTGGCGCAAACCACGATGCGATCCGAAATCGGCCAGCTGACCCTCGACCACGTCCTCAAGGAGCGCGCCGCCCTCAACACAAACATCACCGCCGCCATCAACGAAGCCGCCCAGGCCTGGGGCGTCACCTGCCTCCGTTACGAGATCCGAGACATCCACGCCCCCGCCGGCGTCGTCGAAGCCATGCACCGCCAGGTCACCGCCGAGCGCTCGAAGCGCGCCGAGATCCTCGACTCTGAGGGTCAGAGGCAGTCGGCCATCAACATCGCCGAGGGTAAGAAGCAGAGCGTCATTCTGGCGTCCGAGGCCTTGCGCGCCGAGCAGATCAACAGGGCGTCTGGTGAGGCCGAGGCCATCCTCATGAAGGCCAAGGCTACCGCCGCTGGTATCGAGGCCGTCTCCAAGAGCATTGCCGATGGCGAGGATGCGGCACAGGGTGCCATCAGCCTGTCTGTTGCCGAGAAGTACGTTGACGCGTTTGGCAAGCTGGCCAAGGAGAGCACGGCTGTCGTAGTCCCCGGAAACGTGGGAGACATCTCGAGCATGATTGCCACCGGCCTGAGCGTGTACGGCAAGGTTGGACAGGCACAGGCCAGGACGATGGCGAAGCAGCTGGTCGGCAACGAGTCGGCGGAGGAGTCTGGCGAGGGAGCGTCCGGGGAACCCAAGCAGCTGAAGGATTCGGTGCTTGAGAGCTTCGACCAGGCGGCGGGACAGAAATGATTATTTGGAGAGAGTACGGAGCCGGCGTTGATGGACAGACACACACAAGATAGGAGAATCGCCGGGTGTCACATTATGTACTAGTACTACCCACTCAATCAAAAGACGGGCGAGGAAAATGCTCATGCATATCATAGGTTAAAATTGACTTGATCAAATCTCCCATTGAAGTATTCTTTTCTACGTGAAAGGAACACGTTATATATTAAGCCTGAAGTCCACGTACCGAGAGGCTGCGAGTGCCGTCCTTGCTGCCGTTACAGTATATTCTGTCGCCTGGATACGTAGGAACCCTTTAACTACCACTACAAGTATATTCCCGTCACCAGCCAGCAGGCGCCCGTCTAGGTCGACGGGTCAGGTCAAACTGGTTGGGTGGTGGAATGGTTCGAGATCAACAATCAATATATTCGCCCATAGCCTTACTCGACGACAGGCTCTGAGTTCGATTCCCAGCATGAGCACAAAGAGATATAGCCACATCCGTGGTGAACTCTTTTTTTTTCTTTCCCTTTTCAACATGATATTAAAAAGGGTGAACGTGTTCAGACCTTGGCTGACCTCTTTTAATAAGGTACTTCGTGGTGGCTGGAAACGTTGCAACCTAGGAATAGAGGAAATACTTCAAATACGGCCTTGAATCATGGACCGTCTGAACAGATCAGTTACTTCGAAAAACAACTGATACCACTGACATTACACTCAACGTGTGCTAAGTATTCCTGGCCATCGCTCGGAGGTCAACGTCGTGAGAAATGATAGTTCCATGGCTTCAGCAGGTTATAAACCCACAATCCATCAACGCCATAAATTGCGCAAGCCTGAGCTGTCTCCCTATCCCGCCGTACGGGACGTTGCAAGTTGTTCTCCGACTGAACCAGTTGAGCTCCAACGTGCTTCACCTTTTTAAGCCGCTATCGACAATGCACATGCTTTCCGCAATAATGTGACTTCGATGTTGATCTTAAATCTATTGTCAGTGTACGGTGTACAGTCCTCGGTTGCAATGTTGCAGTGGGTTGACACTCCTCTAACCATGTGAAACCTCAGAAGAAATTCGGGTAGGAAATCGAACCGGCTTTAAGTATAAGGATCAAGCATATTGCAATATCATAGTTGAAGAAGTACAGGTATTGAATCTGACAGTCGAACAGAGTAGTGAGCCTGATGACGTCAAGTTCTGAAGAAGTACTGAATCTCTCTTTATGCCCGGCTGTATATGTGCGAAAATGACACCTGTAATTCTGTGCAGCTAAGTACTTCGGGAGCACGATGCTGTTCGTAGCAATATACAAGCAACTGTCAATGTCCTAATAGGAAGGTTGCATCTGAGCCTTGTCAGGTTCGAGTGTAAACTCTCATGGGCCCTCGCATCATCTTCCTTTAAGATAGACACAGTTCTATCAGCAAGAACTTGCATTGGATGGACGCGTACCAGTGCTCATGAGATAATTTGGAGCTGACACCCATCTCACTTGTATCACAGCTTTGAAGCCGTACCAAAAGCACGCTTGTGGTAGCATAAGGGCTCATTTTATACGTGTGCTATACATAAATGGGCTCCCTCCATGGTGAAAGGGCGAATTATGAATGCATTGAGTTGTGAGCGCATACGTCTGTTATATAGAATTATGCTCAGTGTAGAAGACACTCTGCGGAGATGGTGAGAGGCTTCGTAAAGCATTTGATCAAGCTTTGGAGCAAGCTGCTGTAATACTTCGTCTGCGTAGCAAGTCACACCCATATTCTTACTATCAGAGTTGTAGTAAGTTGGGCATGGATCCAGTTGTATTGTTGATGTAGTAAAGACTTACACAATATGAAGAAGGTCGAAAGGCGAGTGAGAATGTAGCAACGTATCTGCGCCTCTTCCCTCTGGAGGAACTAAAAAGAAACAGGCGGAATCACGCAATCGCAACAGCGGACCTTGTTGGAGACGGACACGCATATCTCCTTTGATATGATGCCCGCCACCAAGAAGCAAGAGAATGACCTTGCATGGTGCAGGACGCAAACCGCATATCCAATATAGCCGGACAAACACCGAATCATCCGTATCAAAAGAAGAAAGGAAGGAGCAAAAAGAAGAAAACACCCTTCAACATCGGCAGTCGAAAAGTCGCCTCTCACACGGCCAACCCTTACCCCGCGAAGAACGTTTTTTTCTCCCTCACGATAGTCTCTACCCCGCCAACTGGAACACCGGCGGCGGGTCCTATCCAGCACGACGCTCAGAGTTTTCTGCAAGCTCGATCTTCACAAGATGCAAGCGAGTGGGCAAAGAAGGGCCGGCCGCCGGCCGCCGGCTCGTGCGGGCCTTGCCCTCTCCAACTCGCTTTAGGCTGCTGCTCTTGGCTTTTCTCTTCGAGGTTTGAGTGGAAGCCGCCGGGGGCGAAAGGCAAAGGGTGAGGGGGTCATGCCGGAAAGCGGGCGACGTCGTATCAGCATCGGCGAGATCTCCCGCGACCGAATTCACGAGTGCGGTCTCGTGCCAGTGGGGGCTGCGAAGAACGATGGATCATGGCGTATCTATTCTACGGATACAAACAGGCGGGTTCGAGACCTCTGGCAAATTCGGCTTCTGCACCTTCGCTGACCTCACCAAGCTGACTAGAGCGTTACCGAACAACCTCCTGGTGCAGTTTGCCTGCAGCCTCGGTGCGGCACAGCACCGCATGCTGGCGCCTTTCTTCTCAGCTGTTAGCCTGTTTCGAGATGTCAGCTCTGCATGATGGGACTTTGAGGTTTGGCGGGCGCGGCCCGCTCAAACTTTGGGAGGGATTTGCCGTGGTAGGGTTTACGAAACTTCGACAACGCGGCCGAAGCAACCGGGGACGGGCAGCAATGAACATGTTTGGCAATGGGCCGTGGGAAAGGGGAGGGGGCATACCCGACTCGGACTCTCTCACCCAGGCCTTTGTCGGTGGAGTTTTTGGCCATCGTTACCGTACGGGACATCGACCGACGGAGGCGGCCGGATCAGGGTTCATGATGAGCGAGGAGGGCTGGTTCTGGCAGAAACAAGGTCGTCTGCTTGTCAGGTCCACCGCCCAGGAAGAGTTGCTGTAACATTAGGATACCGTCTCCGGCTTCGCGAAGCGGGTCGGAGAAGGAGGAGGAGAAGGATTTGAACAAGAAATGCTTTCAATAAGCGGCTTGCGCAAGTGGTGAACCGAGCTCCGATGATCAACCCGGCAAGGGTTTGAGCTTTTGGGGGCCTTGAAGGCACATGGGGCGGTTATCTCAACCTTCTTTGCCTTTCACGTCCTACTTCCTCTCGCAGAGATGGGCACATGCATCTTTTAGGGATGTATCATGGGAGTGGGGAGGATCATCATCTGGCATCGGGGCGGGGACTGTCAGAGAAGAAGGATGTCGGCCCTCCATGCCTAATGAAGCATGCCGATTTCGCGGCGAGATATGTCTGATCTACATTCGCGCAGCCAAGTCTAACGGGCAACAGTCAAACAGACAGAGCTGGCGTCCAATGGAGATGAGCAAGGCCTGCGAATAGTTGCAATGCTCTATTGTTCCCTCAGGCTTGAAGCAGCGCATATCAAAATTTACCTTTCGAGAATCGCGAAACAGCGATGGGCCTCCGCGTCTCCTGAAAATGGCCAAACCACCCTGGTCGCCTGGTTCCGGAGCTTCGACATCCTAAGCTGGAAAGCTCTGACCGTGAGTCCACTTCTCATGCCGAATCTGGATGGGAACGGAGACGTTGTAGCATAGATATTAGGAAAACACAGACGAGCGAAGCAGGGTGACGAAACAACCTCGTAGGCACGGTGGCACGCAAAGTCACGATGGGATGGAATAGGATGGGATGGGGCTGATGGCAACCGCCTCATCCACAGCAGATCTTGGTTAGCCTTACTCTGCAGCGGGGCTGGGATCTTGGATGGATGGATCGCCGACTTTCCTCTTCTGAAAAACCATTGCGACGCTCGAGGGGGTGTGAACCGTGAGGGGGTGCTTTTGCTAGCGTAGCCAGCTTGGCAGCTGGGCTTTGCTGCTCTGCTTGGATTAAAGTGCAGGGCGATGTTGCAATCCCAATATGGATGCGAGAACATCCGTGCTGCAATGACGGGCCAAAGCTCCAGAGTGCAGTTCCTACTTCCAAGTTTAACACGAGCCTTCGTCCGAAGGAGGATGTGGTGGTGTTGAGCGAGTCAAACCGACGAGTTGTACTGGCAGCCCGGTCCGAACTCTACTCTGCAAGCTCTGCAAGTTTGTTAGAGCGATCAGTGACGAATGACGAGCCTTGTCTGTGTGTCCCCCCATCATGGCGTTTGCTCGAGTGGAAAATGTTTTTTGGCGGATGTGTCATAGATCTTCCCCGAGGAGGGTGCTGGCTTCGATTCTGCCTGACCCTCTGATGTCAGGGGCCTTGTCTGGTTGCTGATCCGGATCAGCAAGTTGAATTAGACTTCGCAGCAGCAGCGTGCCGTGTACCATCTTCGAACCTCGTCTTGTGAGACATTGCGGTGCCAGATGTCATGCGTGCCATGTTCAGGCTCCGGCGATAGACGCCAATCTATCGATCAAGGGTTCACCCGATTGAGGCGGGAGAGAGGGGCCTGGTCAAAGAATCCCGACTCAAACACAGTCACTGCATCTGTACCAAAGTTTCTATCTTGGGGGAACCGGTGGGATGGTCGTCGCTTGGGCCGTTGGATTTTGGAACCGTGGAATTCCAGTTTACCTAGGTTGATAACATGTCCCGGCGCATTGTAGCGATGACACGGGTGAGCGACAGCTTCGGCGGCAACTCATCCGATGTTTAGTCTCGACAGCGACGGTAAGCGTTTGGGGGGCTCGAGTCCGACCCGGCCCAGTACCGGGGCGTCCTCGACTCTTCGGTCACCACAGGTGAGACTGAGAGAGAGGATAGCTCAGCTCACTCTGTCAGAGGGGACCCTGTCAGCCTGTTTGCTTGTCAAACCTGGGCTTGGCTTGCCTTTGCCTGGCGTGCTTGGATTGATTCTTTTTGGGACGTGCTTGGTGGATACGGAAACTGGCGATGCTGCTATTGGCAGGGCCGGTCTTCAATCATGTGGTCAACCTACCCCGGCCTCTGACCGCTGCCCCCTTTCGATCGTTAATCTCACCGATGATGGGCAATCGACTCAAGCGAAATGTGGTCAATGGATTCCCCTGGTCTTCAGCCCATGAGACCAAATACACCAAGACACCATTGGAAATTCTTAAGTGGGATTTGATCTGTATCCATACTCGTACGAATACAGAATGTCAAGTTTGCTCTGCGTTTGCGGATGACAGGTGCATGATCCACGGGCTCCCGTCTCTGGCATCGGATCGTTGCCCCTTTTGTTGGTACACTTTCCATACATGTAATACGCAAAATTTGACAGCTGTAAACTATTGGACTGGGAACTGAACGGTGCTATCGCACGTCCCCACGGGTCCCCTAGGGAAGGATTCGTTGTGTAAATGCGTTTGACGGCTGAGGCGCTTTGGCTTCAAACATTGTATACGGAAATTCAGACACGAGTCCACAGTAGATATGACTGCGCGTCCAAGTGTGTTTCTGGGCAAAATAAAAAAATAGGTTACGTTTGTCAGAGTTTCCCTATGTACACAGTAAGTGGAAGCGAACCTGGCATGCTGGGTTGGCCCTCGCTGTGCAGCTCGTGATGGACGTGTACACGGACGCCAAGTGTCGAACGGATACATCATTGAACATGGAGTGGCAGGCTTCGGAAGTGGAGTTTGGCTTCGCCGCTTGCGTGCAGCGCCATCGTGGTACCGTGAACATGTCGGCACAAGGTCAATCCCACTCTGTTCTACGAGAATCCTTTCGTACCACACAGGTAGACCTCGTTGGAGTGGGTGAGGCCAAGCTGTCGCTGCCTTGAGGCTTGTGTTGTGTTGGAGCGGCATCGGTTCGTCGATGATCTATCCGGCCTAGGCAGCCGACTGTTGCACCTGATGGAAATGTTGTTTGCGCGTTTCTGCGTCTAGAGGTAGTATCGAGCAGATTGTAAAGACCCTGGTCTCCTTGCCATACTCTTGTGAAGTTGTAAAGTAGCATGTCATGATTCCCACCCAGGCCTCGCGGCTTTTCGCAGACCCCTTAAAGGCCTCGACATATATGAATGGAAAGATAACTTCCCGTGCCTACGACATCGTCGTCGTCGTCGTCGTCGTAGAGAGAGGGTCTGTGAGTCGTAGACCTTACTGCCGTGATGTCCGTGTCCGTCCTAAGGCAAGTGATGGACCTGTCGAAAGCGGCGCCTAGCCCGATGAAGTTCGTCCCTCACCCAAAAAGAGGCTCGTTCGCGAAGGGGACCCGACGATATGGACCAGTCCACATGGGAACGCTCAAGTCTGGACGAAACCGGTGCTCTCGCCACCGCAAAAAGCAAATCCTTCGTTCCAACTTTACGCGGGACAGACTCAATGATCGATTTTGGTCTTTTTTCTTCTTTTCTTTACTTTGGTTCTCTCAATGTCCTTCATGTTCCTCTCATTCTACCCCAAACAGCGTCATCTCCAAGTGTTCAGTCGATACGAGTCAGGGAAGTAGCAGCGAAGGTCTCTCTGCTGCATCTCATGCGTCGCAAAATAAAGTCACAGCATCGCCTGAGTCGGTCTTAGATTGCTTGCTTTTGTCGCCTGCAGAGTCTGATGAGAACAGACGTTGGAAACGCTCGACCTCTTCCACGTTGCCTTTTTGCCCTGGTGGGCATGTACTCCGTAGGCACTGGCCGCGTCCTTGTCTCCGTCTTGAACGTGCTAGGCTCAAGCAAGTACAAGCAGTGCTTGCTCATTGATAAGATTGACTCCTTTTTGCAAGCATCTCAGCCACACCGTCCCCATCCCCAGACCATGTCGCAGTGGCAGAGCAGCAGCACGACAGCTCGAACAACGACTTCTGAAAGTGGGCGGTGGGCACGTAAGTAGCCCACTGTCCCAGTGGTCTAGCCCGCCCCTCTCTGTGAGAAAAAGAAAAAAGGATATTCCAGAATACGTGGAGCATTTCGTAAGGCCCGGAACATGGGCCCAGGTTCAGTCAGGGGCGTTCCTTTTGACCACCGCATATGGATGGGCCGCCCGTCTATCTGCTGGGTTCGGAAACGGCGGGATCGTGAATTGACACCGATATTTGCGAACCGAAGGAGCCAGCGGGCTGAAATTCTGAGTTGGCAAAGCATGAGCGGGCGGCGGGTGGTGCCATGGTGCGGAACGACGCCAGCCAGACCCCGTACCCTATGGGCAGAAAGGCGCTTGCATGGCACAACAAGCTTGCCTCTATGCAAAGTTGTTGCCAACTCTGCGATGATGCATTGTCCTGCGGCCGGCCAGCTCAACTATCAGCAGCCTCCTAATGAACGGTGGGCCTCTTGTTGTTGGCTCTGGCCGCTGTCCCGCACCAGGCTGTTTCAAGACATGTCGCCCACTATACGTCCAATTCTGCTGCTTCGAGAAGGACTAATAGTGATAGGTCATCCGCATACTGGGGAATTCTGAGACAAGACCAGGACAGAAGCGGATGAGCGAAGTCACCTGCGATCCATCGGATAATGGCCCTCACAACGGCCAGAGGCGGTGTCTCTCTGTACGGAGTTGACTGCGAATTCTAGGCAGGTACTCAGTATTGGCTCTGAAGTGCTCATATTCGTGGGTATGAGTACAGCTTGTGGAGAGGCAACAAGGCTAAGGGTTATGACGGTTGATCGGGACACGAATCGCTACTGAAGCTATTGCCAACAAGTGCCGTTACTACGATGACCGGCGCGTGCAAATTTGCAACCCAGAGCTGAACTTCGCAAATTGAACGCGGCGTACGGTCCACGGATAGACAGAGGCCCAAAGCGCTCAGCGACCGACCCTTCAGACGTCGATGAACATGATTTCATGGAATAATGACTGTTGAGCCTTGAGGTCCAGGATTTTTCTGCTGAATGGCGTCGCTGATCATCCCCGATGAGACTGTGGAAAGTATGCCCACTGCCCGTAATGGGCAAGGACTCCTCCACACTTCTTCAGGGGCCCCGGCGATGCCCTGCAGAGATCATTCATTGGAAACCTGGGAGGGCATTCACGAGTCCCTCGGTTGGCGACTGGGGGGCAGAAGACTCGAGGAGGGGCGCGGTTTCGCGCATCCACGGCCATTCAGCCCCCTGCTTGACCTTCGCTGTCAAATTGATTAAAAGAATATTAGGCGGTGATTGCGAGTGTCATCGTTGTCGTCTTCACGCTCTCGTCATCCATCCGTTTGTTTGTATCGAGCAGATGCCCCGTGCTTCCCGCGTCTCGTCCGTCCTGTTTCCGTTCCTCTCTGCCAGCTGATCCCCTTGGGTCTTTGGCCTGAGGGTTGCAACCATTGTCAGTGGTGAATCCTTAGGGGCCAGTCCGTAGTCGACTATTTGTGTACGTATAGGTATAGGCACTTCCTCCTTTGCAATATCAAAATCATGGTTCAGGGGTGTGTTTCCGCCGGCCGACAACCCCTGCCTTAGCCCCGGGTGTCGTTGTGCAGCGCGGGAGGGGACCAAGAAAGTGCCAGGCCGAGGGCCGGTCATTGGAGCCAGCACGAGGAGGTACGGATACTTGGAGGAGAGAGACGATTCTGGCGTTCGCGGTCTGTCCGACGTGCTCTTCTGCATTCCCACCGTCTCGTGTGGCTTGCAAGGATTGCGTGCGGTGGACCGCCACCATCCATGCAGAATCTGGACGGCTTCCCACCCTAATCACCTGCAAGTCAGGCAGTCCCCAGCCAAGGAGGGGAGATGTATCGAGGCGAAAAAAGGTGGATGACTTTAGAGTAAAGGGTAAGAGGGTGCGGTATGTAAGGTTCAGGTGGCCATCCAAGAGGCCGTCACGCACGTCAAAGTGCCTTGGTGCTGGGTGTGAAATTTCCAAGTTCCATTTCCGTTTTCCCCCAATATCATAATCGCTGTTCCCTCCCAACACCCACACTTTCCGAGGAAGAGGGAGGGCCCTTGGATCTGTTCTCTCGAGTCCTTACTCTTTTCCGTCTCATAGGTCTCATATTCGACACGTGGAGGAGCAGCCCATCCGAAGAATTAGCTTGAAAGCTGAAAGAGCCCGTCTGGCCCGGTCCGATCTGGAAATTGTGCCGGTGGAGACGCAAACAGGAGTTTGGCTTATTACCCCCCTTGGTCCTGGGTGCCTTCGTATGACGGCCATCGTCCCATTTCTTTGTGTCGCCGTCGGAGTGGGAGGATCGCTCGGGAGGATTCTACTCAGCTGTGCAACCGAACCCTTACCACGAACGAAAGAAACCAACAAGAAGCTAAGCAGCAAATTGTCATCTGTGGGACAGGAAACATTGAACACCAATACCAAAATCGCATGGAGAATTGTCGACCTGTCTGGCTCACCAAACCCGCATGCATCGATAGCGCGGGTTGTCAACCTGCTTTGACAAGGTAGTTCCCTCCACATCCAAATTCACGAAGCTCTACCATATGAAAATCCGCCCGGCCAAACCTACGAGCCAAAGCAGCCTTTCTACCCAATGCTCTTTGCTGCTCTTGGCAAGAAGAGGCTTTCGCGAGAAGGAAAAGAAGACCTGGGCTGACCAGAAGGACAGAGGTCGCCGCCGCGCCGGTTCGTCGAGATGGGGCGAACCTCTAAATTCACATTCCCCGTCCCCGGGAGGAAACAGAAACCACCGTTTGGCCCGATTGTGTCGGGGCCCATGTCGAAAGCGCAAAAGATTCTGGGAACCGCCGAGATCAATATCGACGCTCCGCGACAATGGGATTCCGCCTCCAACTCCGGCATCAGCGTATGCGTATCTGAAAGCACGGCGACTTATAACCCGAGCGAAAGAAGCCGAGGAGTGATGCGCCATGAAGAGGAGGGCAGTTATGCAGGGAATAATCGCAGTAGGAACAACAACACGAACGCGCAATGGGAACAGGAGTCCGAGATCGTGCCGGCTTTCTTGACGAACCGATTCGCACAGCTGAACACCGAAGGCAGCCAGCGAGAGTTTACGACTGAAACATCAAGCCTCGCCCGACGTGGTTCAAACTCGACCATCACTTCGTGGTACGACAAGACGAAGATGCCGCTTTCGATATCGCAGCAGACATCCTCCTCCGCCATGGCAAAGGGCCTGCCGCAGAAGGCCAACGCAGTCCTCGATATTGAAGGCCATTCATCGACCAATGTGCCAGCACCGTTGAACCTGAAAGCCAAGAAGAGGCCGAGTCGACTAGATCTTGGGCCATTGTTGTCTCGGGCTAAGCACAATAGCTTCAAGGGCAAATCCGACCCTCAGCGAACGAGCTCCGTACATGGACACGAATACACCAACCGATCGCCCTCGCTCGCCTCGGTCACCTCACCCAAGAGCACACCACCGCCGATCCAGCAAAGAACCGAGAGGAAATTAACGAGGAAGAGCACGTACGACAGCCTGAACTCGACCGGAAGCCGGCCGAGAACAGGTTCCAGCAGCCGCAGAGGCGCCAACGACATCAGCACATTGCCCAACCTATATGAGCATTACGAGCAAATGTCCTTTGACTCAGTCCTGGGACATGATGGTCCTTTGGCTGCTGCATCTACTCACTCTCTGAATAGTGTCGCTCACACGCCACTTAGATCGCCGTCTACCACAGACCACCAAAGGAGGAACTTTTCGAGGCCTCCTCTGAGACAAGATGGGACGACGTCAACATACCAACCTCAATTCGGACCGTTACCAGAGTCTACTGCCGCATCAACCGGCCACCAACAGACGCAGCCCGATCGCGATTGCGCATCAAGCGTTTCAAGTCGCTACACCAAGACGTCAAAAGCCTCCAAGCGAACAAGTCAGAGTCTGAACGGTTCTGATCTGATGGAGAAGAGTGTTTTGTCGCTGTCCTCAGACTCGGAAGATGATTTCTTCCCCGACTCCGTGTCGAAGTTCACCGGGGGCTCTCGCAGCAGTGATGCGGGAAGTTTGGCTCCTTCATCGCTAAGATCGACACACTCTCGAGATGCCCCGTCATTGGGACAAGGCTCAAGGAAGTCTGTCAAACACGCCAGCTTTGCCCCGACCAATACATATCTCACCATCCCTAGCAAATCGCCGCCCAGCAAACCACCTAGCGTCAACGCGCGCATGAGTTCGTTACCTTCAACTACATATCGGCCCCCACCGGCTGCGTCAAACCGGTCATCACAATATTCGACCATGTCGACATCAACCACTGACTCGCTCAATAACTCTCTGAACAACTCTTTGAACAGCTCTCTGAATAACCGACAAAGTCGCGCGAGTTACGGTGTTCAGGAGGCGCGCGTAATTGCGGTTCTTCCTCCACAAGAATCACACACCATCCCAGATCGTATGATGAGCAACCCACCCCAGCGCATGCTGTCCACAAAGTCTTCCTCTGTCCATTCGGTCGACCAGCCAACGCCGCCCATGAGCCCGACATCAGTGGAGTCCTTTATGAGTTCCGGCGGTGGCGCCGCCGCGGACGCCAACAACACTGCAGACTCTCGCTTCATGGCCGTAACCCGACAGGAAGAGATGCTGCTCGCGGCTCTCCGGATGAAGCGCGCTCGCATGCGCGAATCGATCCTGGCCGAATACGAAGACGAGTCGAGAAGTTCTTCCTCCTTCCATCAGCGCAACTCGTCGCAGGGCACCATCACCGAGATGGACTGGCCCGAACCCCCGCAGACCCTGCGTCATCAGACATCAGCAACCTCGAACAGCACCATCAAGGCCGGATCGCGCGCCTCTGACAGTCGTCCGGCATCTTTAGTCAGAGGCCGGAGCCATCAACGCAACAACTCCCGC